TGAATCTGAGTTGATGTATGTCAGACCCCCAAATGCATTACAGGGGTTGTAACATTTTATCCCCCTGTGTGAAGGTTTTCGACTGTCCACCTCTGTTCCTCAGTGCTGGAGCATGGGAGGAGAAAGCCCAGAAGAGCAGAACAGTTTTTTTAATGTGGAATCAGCACTAGGTTATTCCTAATTAAATCCAGACCTCTGTGCTGTCTGGTTTAAGCAAATCTCGTGGCTTGTTGTTTATGTGTGTGTATGTCTGAGGGCAGAACAGTAGGTGCTCTGTGGAGCTTTGGGTGTTGAAGTTCAGCTCTCATTTCAGTTTATCTCATTAGGGAGTTGAAAATCTTCAGCCATAACGAGTCATGCAGGTAGATTTCAGCCTGGTGGATGAGCTAGCTCATTTTCTCCTTGAAAGCAGTTATTAGGCTGCTTACTAATTTCTCTTTTCCTTTTTGATTACTTAAGTTTAATTCCATTTTAATGGGAATAAATGTAGGAGATGGTTGTGCTGAAATACTGAACTAGTGTTAAAAATGCTTGTAATTGAAGAAGTCTATTTTGTTGCAATGGGGACATCAAAGACAAGCTGAATTTATCTGAAAGCTCAGCTTTGTGTGTACACTTACCCTGGTCAGCAGCCTATGTAGGCAGGGAATGAGATTTTGGATGAACTTGTCAGCAGGTGAATTTCTTCTTCTCCATTATCTGAAATTCTCAGTCACTTCCATGTAGTCTCATGCTGATGATAGATTTTCTATTCCAGAAGGCAAGTGTTTAAATTCCCTTATAAATCTTTGTATTACTGCTCCAGGAAATTAGACTTCCTGGCACTGTCAGGGTAATGACTTTAACTTAGTAGATTACAAAAGTGCCAGCAATTTGTCTTCAGCTAAAGGCAACATGTAGTAGAAGGAGGGAGAAACTTCACTTTACTCTGGCTTTAGTTTGTAATTAAGATTGGCTGCAGTTCGCATTTCACTGCTGCTTTAATTTGCTTTCTTTAAATCTTGACAAGTTGACTCAAGCACTCACCTGCCCTTTCCAGCTCCCTTCCATCATTAATTTTGATTGTTGTATTGTGAATAAGTGAGTAGAGCTGATTGATTAATGGCACCATCCACACCCCTCCTGTGCCTACTGCTGGAAATTCAGGGACTGGGAAGCTCTCCTCTGTGAGAGCAAGTAACATGTTCCTGTATTAACATCTTTTGAGCATTTCATGCACATTATTGAGAATTCTGATCAGAATTGTTAAGTATGTCTTATTTCTGTTGTTTTCCTAAGCCGAGTGTTCATTTTGGTCCCATGTGTTTTTCATAATTTACAAAGCAGTGAAAGGTTTCTCATCTGTCTTCCAGTGCTTTGAGTCAGAGAAAATTTATTGCTTTGAATCAGAAAATTCCCATATGGAACCTGCACTTGCCAAACTTTCTCTAATCTGGTACCTTTAAATTCACATTCTTTTTGCCTATATTTTCAAGGAATTCAGAGCAGGCACCTGTGGATTTTTCCTTTCTTGTGTACACAGTCTTCCATAGCTGACTACTGATAGTTCTGGAATCCTCTGCCTTTTTTGTCATAATCTTCTCTGATTCTTATGTTCAGTATTCTTACTTGTTCAGAGCTGGTGGATACATGCATGAATTGCTTTCTGGACTGATGAGCTGTCCTCTAAAGGTGAAAACTTTTTTGTGATCCTTATCCATCTGTTAAATTTAAATATGTAGAACATAAATTGTAAGTATAAGGTTGAAACTGAAGGCTTTGAAAAATCATATCGGGGGGATGCCGTTGGAATGTGATTTGGAGGTCCAGGGGTAGGTGTTCTGTCTCTGCCACTAATTCTTTTCACTTGGTAATGCAGTTCTATCCCACAATATTATTACTTTGGGGACTGTAAGGAAAAAAAATACTTTTCTGGGAGGAATACTAAATGATACGACTGGAACCTGGTACAGTAACTGTGTGCAGCAGTCCTGCTAAGACTCACAGCTCTGCTGTGTGGAGTTTAGTTATTCCACAAAATCATATGAGAGGAATTTGAGACCGTTACAGGACCAGCTCTGGTGCTGTCTGTCTGCTCAGGAATGTGAAGAACAGTTCTGGCTTTGCGTCCTGGTAATTGCTGCCGTGTTTGTCAAACCGCTGCTCTCTGGCTTCAGAGAATGCCTTGACATTGCAGCCCTGAGCTGTGCTTTGCAGTCCCTTGCTTCATCCATAGGGACATCCAGGCAAAAACTGTGTTTACAGATAAGAAATGCTAGATTCCTGGCAGGGGTGAAATGGCATCTGTGGAACAGAAAAGCTCTAGCAGCTGACTAAGGGAAAGCACAGTGTTTGTGTGAGTAGACTATGCTGTGAATGGCCCAGATGAGAGATTGTGTCAGGAAGATTTGAGATGGGGACTTGAAATAGTTCTGCGACATGGAGGATATAGTATAAACTAAGGTATACTGGAGAAGAAATTATGTGTTAATGCTATTTAAATGCTGTGAACACCTCCCCACCCCCAGCATGGACACTTCATAGTGTTAATGTCTTTCTGGTTTAGGTCATGAAGCTTTGAAGTTTAAGCTGAGGGACCAGTGGGAAACAACTGCTGAGACAGGGAGGCAGGAGGAGCAATTGTAATGATACAAGAATTCCGTTCAGCTCTATATTTATAGAAGCTGAAACTCTTTGTGAAGTCATAAGGTGGTGGTTCCTGTCCATCTCTGTTTGGCTCAGCTATAATTTGTTTGCCTGTAGAACTCCTGATTTTTCCTTTGTCTTCTATCTCTGTCTTAACAGCTAGAGGTCACATATAAGATGAGTTAAGACGATTGATTTGTTTCTGAATAATTTCAGACTTTTCCTTCTGAATGAGAAAAAGCTGGCTCACTTCTAAGATACTTTGGTTATCTTGGAAATTGTGAATCAACATCAAAAGCTATTCCTCTTCTTCAACCTTCTTTTGCATTTTCGAATGTTTAGTCTCCATTAGCACATGAAGGGGAAAAGCTGAAAGTTGGAGGCAAGATTCTCCCTCCCCACCTTTAGGTTCTTTGACCTGTGGCTCTCATGGGACTATAAAAAGACTCCAGTAGTCAGCTTCCAGCTCCATTTTTCCTGAGGTTGACACCCAGGGATATAGATCTACTATAATAACTAGCAGTATCTTCAGAAGACAGGAATCCCAGGTGGTAAATTCCTTTTCCAGCTTGATGCGAGTTTGTGGCCAACTTAAGTGCACAGAAAATGAGATTTAGGCATCTCAAACAGGAAGAGCCTATATATACTTGCATAATAAAGTAGCCTATAAAAAACTAAACAGCAGGAGCTCCACTAGAGCACATGGTAATTACAGCAGCTAATAAGGAGATGGAGTGATCTGGAGCTTCAGCTAAAGACAGAACTGGAAGGAGAAGAGTCTGATTTTCCCAGTCCAGCATTGCTGCTGACTTTCTGAGTGGCCTTAGGCAAGTTAATAGCATTCAGTTGCTGAGCTTGTGGTGAACCTGTTAATGACGAGCCTGCTATTTCCATTGCCTTCACTAGAAGAATCACTTCACCAAAATAATAGCTGGAATAATTACCTTCACTAACATAATTATTGTTTTCACTGCTACTGTGATAACCAATGCAAATGGAGTGTATGTGGTATATTTGTAAAAACAGCAAAATTCTGGTGAAGTATGCTGTATCCCAGCTGTTGCTAGCAGTACAGTGATAAAAAAATAAAATAAAAAGATAATTTCAGTTAAAGGTGGATGGTAGAGGTTTCCCCTGGTGAGATACCGTGGGGATGGACTGAGACCTTCGTGTTGTAGAGCGAATTTTGCAAATACATAATACTGTGAATTGTTTTATGCTCTCAATATGCGTATTGCACTTACTGTGTTTTTTTATTGAGAAGTTCAACTGCATTATTTATGATGCTTTGTATAGAAAAGTATATACATAAACCAGTACATAACTAGAAACCTTGGTAAGTTCTACTGCCCAGCTGCATTTACTTCCGTTATAGCAGTGTGTGCTCTCTGGCACTGCTTCAATTTTCATGTCATCTCCACTTGGCTAATATTTCTGATGAAGAATAGTTAATGTTGGAAAGCTATAGTTGCCATCATATGTTTTAATTTTCACAGCTTTTCCTGTACTATTTTCCCTGCTGAGAATGGCAGATTCTCTTCCCTCCCCACATTTTAGGTTGTGTGTATGTTTTTGCATGTCCCATTTAGCATTTCTATTCTACAAGCAATTCTAATTGTTACTCTAAAATAGAGTGCTTGTTATTACAGAGCATAGCTCATTATACAGATGCTGCACCAGGACTGTTTATAAAATGAGAATGTGCCAAGAAAGCCTGCCAGGAATAAAAGCAGGAGTTGATGGGAAGGTGCTTATCCCTCATAACTGTAGCTGCCTCAGTCTTGGGGCTCAGTCACTGCAATGAAAGACTCACTCCATGCACCGATCCATCACTGTTGCATTATGTCAGCTTTTGCCATGCCACTTAGTTTCAGTTAAGAAACAATAACAATGAAATCTCCACATTCCCCCCTTTCCTTTTAGCATAAGCATAAAAAATGAGATGATCCTTTGAAGAGGGGTGCAAATCTGATAGTTGTCCTGGCCAGTATCGCCAGGAAGCTCAGGGAAGAGGAACTCAGCTTCTGTCAGAATTGAGAGATGAAATTTCATGTCAAAATCACTTACAAAAACCTTGTTGCACGAAGTTACGGTTGTCTCTGGTGTCCGTCAAAAGTACCGCAGCAAAGTTGTGCTGACGAAGCTGCTTGACAAGTTAAGAGAACTGCAGAAAGTTTCAGAACAGCTGAGGCAGAAAAATGGTGTAATGTTGATTTAAATCCCTCTCCAGATTTCCAGAAGTGGTGTGAGCAGAAGCAAAGAAGGTAGTTACAGGTGAGTGTTCTGAAAGCTGTGCTTTAGGGGTAGCCAGAATGTGGATTTCTGAGAGCCCAAGGAGACTTGGTGCTTTCAGAAGTCAGCACTAGACAGACATCACTCGAGTCTCACTGAAAGCATCTGTCCCATCTGGTATCCTTCTGCCCAAAGACATGGAGGCTAATGCCACGTAATTGGGCATTGGAGCAGGTTCCTCAGAAAGGTTTTGAAGGTTCGTTAATTCGTGAAGGATTTCAAGACCTGACTGGACAAAAGCTTGGTCTAATTTTGGCATTGAGCCTGCTTTGAGCAGCAAGCTGGCCCAGTTGACCTCTCATGTTCCCTTTCAGCCTAGTTGTTCTGTGTGACTCTCATTAACTGAATAGAGTCAGCCAGGAAAATTATGTCTACATAAAACCAGCACATTTTTCCAAAACAATCCTCTACAACTGGTGTATTAGGTGACTCAGATGAGAAGAATGAGAAAGTCCATTTGCCCATGGAACCTGAGAAAGGAGCATATATACAAAATTGAGTGTATCGGGTTGCAGCTCAAGATATGGCTTGTTTCAAATAAAAATATTTTTTAACATATATACTTTACTGGTGCCAGCACAATAAACCATGGAATCCTCAGAACACTTGATAATCAGCCTTTGAGGGTCTGCTTAGAACAGCTAATGATGGGGGAGAGAAAGGGGAATGAAAATCAGATAGTTGTGTGATTCTGAACTAATTGCAAATTGTGGTACTAGAGATCAGGCAAGGAGACCTTCCTTACAGTGCAGCCAAGACAAGGAGGTACATGCATTTTTTCCACTTTTGCTTGAACAGTATTATAGTTAATGGAGAGCTTTAATCATAGAGGTAATCTGGAAATTGAAGCAAAGTGGAATGTCAAATAACCTGGACATTTTAAATTGCAGAAGCCACTGATGCTCATTAGTTGGGCTGAAGCTGCTGTCGTGTTTTGCAGAAGGGCAAATAAAGAGAATCAAAAAATTAAGACTTCTGGTTTTGCAGCATTAATTTCCATTGAGTGTACCTGCACAGCTGCTGCAGCCCTATTATCTGACGCATTACTTTGTAAACCACTGTGAGATATCTTGAATGTGAAAGCCGCTATGTAAAGCCATATTTATTTCTGTAACCCCAAGTGCTCTGCACAGGCTTAAAAGCTCCCCCCCCTTCTCCACCATGACAGGGGAATTACAGGACTTAATGTGCCATATATCTCTAACTGTGGATTGAAGAAAAATGACCTTGAACTGAGAGGGAGGCATTTTACATGGTAAAGCAGTCACTTAAATTTACCTGTCAGCTAGAGGCGGGGGGAACCTTACCTCTGCATGGTTTAGAAAGCAATGTCAATCCAGCTGCTGGTTGCTCTGAACCCACTGAGAGCTTGATTGCTGACCCAGGCATTTCCAGATGATCAGTGAGAATGTTGATCAGTATGTGGTAGAAAGGAGAGCATTTTTATTTCGGTCTCACAGACCATTAGTTTCAGCCCTGAATTTTCGACGTCTTGATCACAGGGAAAATTGGAAGTCTGTAATAGCATGAAATGTTACTTGTACAGGAATAGACCCTGCTTCAGGCAGATCTGGAAGGAGGCAATGTGGAGAGTATCCTTGCACCTTGTGCCCAGTTCATTTTTGTTTTGCACATCTTGCCACCTCTTTACTAAAAATCCTGTTGCTTTTGTTGGAGATGTCTAGAGCAACTTTGTGGTGGTTTTTACCAGTAGCCTCAGTAAAGAGTAAGTACCAGCACACTGTGACAGTCCACTTGAGCAGGCCACGTCTAGATAAAAGCAAGACTGAACTCATGTGGGGAGGACAAGAGGGTACCACTGCTGAAGTTAGTTGTGCAGTCAGAGGGTATTTCAGTGGCACAGCTGGGAACAGAGATGAGATTTCCTGATTATTAAAGCAGTATCTTCCTACCTTGCTCATGCTAGCAAGCCCACTCCATTTAGAGATGTCAGTTCTTCTTGTCCCTCTCTCACGAAGCCAGGAAGAACATTTAATCTAATGACTTTTGTTTTGAGACTTCTAAAATCACAACCAGCAAATCTGTAATCACGATGGAGCATATAATTGCATCTTATCCTGCTGAGAGCTTAAAAATAATGAGCAAGAAAAACATCTCCAAAGACTCATTCAGAGTGTGAGGGGGGCAAGAGGACGGTCTAGAGAAAGGATCTGCCTTACCTGGAGTGTCCCCAGTGACCTTTGAACACTTAGGAGATTGGAAGTTTATGTTCCTTGCAGATGCAGGTTTCCCTCTTCTCTTTTGGGGCTACTTTTCACATTGAGTAATAAAATGAGAGAGCACACGAGGCAACCTGCAGATGTGTGAGAGAAAAGTGGGAAGAATGACTGAGGTGTTTGTGATCTTGGCAGTGTGTTCAGAATTTCTCAAGGAATGAGAAACTGGGGGTGTCAGGAGCATGAGACCTAATCCCATTTATTCAATTACACGAGCGCTGCTCCTGGGAGAGTATTTCAGGTTAGTGATAGTGTCCAAAATGTGACACTTTGGGAATGCATGTGTGACTTGGATTTGGGTAGTTCTGCAAGGTTTTGCTTAATAGCTGAATTTTAACAAGCACGTCCCTTCCAAATCTAACATCCCTGTTTGCTGAAAACACTGCTGAGGTTAAACCCATGGACAGTAAACTGCATTGGCAGTTTTCTGGGTGGCTGGATCCTACTTTCCCTAAAACACTGAAAATTTTCTGCCAGTAGTTTCACTGAAGTTTGGAGACCTATTTCTAGATCAAGCTCTGGACTCATATGGTCCATGAAAATCCATCAGGGCATTCGTAACATTGCCTTACATGGAGAAATGGGTATAGGGCCTAACGTGATGGAAATTTCTATACTCCTGAGGAAGTATCTCTCCTTATTTACATTTATACTGACCTTTTCAGAGTTTTCTATAGGCATGAACAACCTCCACAGTAAATGTCAGCCTTTGCTTAGAATCTTTTACATGGGTAATTTTAAGCTCAATTTTTAATTGCATAATATTACCATAAGAAAGCTGCATTGAAATTGAAAACTCTGCTAGACAAAGTGGCTGTTGGGTTGGGATCCTTTCACTGTTTTAAAGGTGATGAAGTGGTTTCAAAGAAGCTGTCAGAGTTCCTTTGTGGTAGTGGCTGCTCCGGCTTTGTTGTAGAATTTCTCATGATTTTTTGCTGCTTTATGAATGCAGGGCATTGCTGTAGGGTGGTGAATATGGGGCAGGCTGCAGTTTGATGCTGTGTAATGTTCCCCTTTTCCTCTTGAAAAATGTCTCTGTGTTCCCTCTGTTCATTGCAGCAAAGTATCTCATTTGTTGCTACACACTAGGGTTCCAGTATCTTCTTTTTCTTTTTAATTTGCAAATAGATTTATTTGTGATTGTGTTTTGTGTGTGTGTTTAGCCAGCTAAGGCTTCAGGAAGTTACTTCTCTCCAGATCATGTTGATACCTCACATTTTAAAGTCCAACTTATAAAGTTTTACAGCAAGATCTGTGTTTCCAGGAAATCTATTATTCTGTAGGCAGAGCTGGTTTTGTGTCAGTTCTGCCTGTGATTATCCAATATTCGGGCAGTGCACTGAACAGCAGGTGGGTTTACATTTAATAGAAACTTACCTGGTTTTCCAGAAAGCTGCAGAGAATGGTTGGCAGGAAGAGTGAGACTACCTGTTCATTTAGTACTTTGATCTGGTATGTTCCAGTGTGTCCCAATTTAAATGAGGGAGGAGCAGCAGCATCTTCTCTTGTCTCTCATCATCTGTAATCCCTGCCTGGATACAGTGCTTTGAGGATGAGTGCAGAATCTCTGTTCTTTGAGGCATTAATGTTTCTAGCTTACACTGAAATCCATGAGAATTAAGTATCCAAATATGGTACCTTTAAAAAACCAGCCTGCAAGGTCCATTTTTTTATTAGAGAAGTTAAGAAAAACCTTTTGTGCTGCTTCCACTCTAGCCTGACATTCATTTAACATTGAAAACATCAAATTCTTTTTCTTGGATGCTTGGGAGATACTTGCCTGACAGCAGCACAGTGACTGTAATTGAGACAGATTAGAGGCACTGGGCTGCCTTTGGGTGCATGAGGCAGCTTTCATGAAACGGAGAGAGGAATTGGAACACACTTTTGACTTTGGAAGCTGGAGCAGGAACTAATTAGCAATTTCAGGACACAAACAGGATTGGAGGAAGTGTTTGGGTTGGCATACAATAAATTATTTATTAATGTGGGGAAGTCTTTCCATATGTCAGTTGCTTATAAAGTGCTTATAAAGGCAAGATTGCAGGACTTTGCATTTAATGAACCAAACAGGCTTCGGTCCCAGTGATTAGGAGCCACTGACCTTTCATTTTTGCAGGCTGAGACTGGACCTGGTAGCCTCTGCTCAGCTTGGATTCTGCTAAGCTTCCCCCAGAAAAGATTAGTTGTTTATATCTAAATATTTCCTTCTTACTAGGATGTATTTTGAGATGTTTGATGTTTCTGTGAGGGTATATCCACTGGAGAATAGAAAAATTTATTCTGTCTTCTTTGAGGAATTCAGGCTTTGGAGTTCTGCGGCCCTTCACTGCCTTAAGCAGACAGTCCTCTAACAAGCAGCTGAATTGATATGAATAACCAAATACCTGTGTAATGGCTTATGACCATTTATGAAACTTTATATAAAAGTCATGATGAGCAGTGGAAGTATAAGAGAACTCGGTGAAGCATGAGTAACCCAGAAAGAAGCTTTCAGTTTGGCTTCTAAGCATATTTCAGTGTGCATGAGCTCTGGAAGATTTGGGTTTTTTTCCTTGACGTTGTTTTTCCCTCGGCACTGAAGATGAAACCCAGACGTGCTGCGAAGGGGAGAACCTGACAGGTGCCAGCCCGAGTGGAAACGCTGTCAGTCCATCCTTGTCTGTCACAGCTCCAGCCCTGATCCACCCAAGTGCTTGTCAGGACCCTGTGGGCTTTCAAACCCAAGCAGGAGGTCCCTCAGTAGCAGGAATGTTTTGAAGCGCAGTCAGTGGAAACCCCTTAAGTGCCACATCTGACAAAGTAATCCCGTTTCTGTAAATTCCTGAGTGATGGGGGATGTGGGTTTGCCTTGCTGGTTGGTTTTAGTGCCATCAGCCCAGTGTGTAACAGCACAGAAGGGCTGACCACAGAACCTGCCGTGGGTCCTCCCACACCTCAGCTCCCCGCAGACCGGGTGGAAACAGCATCTGTGGAGGTCTGGAGGAGTGTGACTGCTGTGTGCAGGGAAAGCACCCTGAGCCCAGCCTGGCTCCAGGACTGCGGCCACCCCTTCCCTCGGCTGCCGGCTCTGCAGAGCTGCCTCACACCTCTGCGCTCCAGGTGCTGCTTCCACACGGTGCTGGACCCCACAGCTTTGCACTGCAGAGCCTCTCCTCCACTCCACAGCCCCTCACAAGCTTTGGACTACTGGGCTTCTATGACTCGTCTCTCATAGGAGAGGGGAGGGCATTTGTGGGGACCATACCTGGCCTCATGATCCAGCATGTTTCATACACCATCTTGAAGACAGGAAAGAAGATACTTAGAGATCTGCAGAGGTAAAAAAGCTGTTTTCTTACCTGTTTCCCGTGTGTTTTCTACCTTTTTTGCATACCTCAGTACTGAATGTCGGAGGGCGTGTGGATATTTCAACTAAATCTGCATTACCATGTAGTGTTTTTATTTTTTCATGCAGCTGTCTGCTGGAGTGTTTCTTCCCTTTGCTATGCTTCTCTGCTTGCTGGCATTTTATGACAGAAAGTTTATAAAGCTGTTCAATATCTCAACAGTTCTAAATAAAGTCAGAATCTTTTTAATAAAATAAATACGTTAGGTGGCATCTGGAGCCAAGGACTAAAGCACGACTCCTTTTGCAGTAAGTTTTTCTCTGCAGACAGGTTTCTACTGAGCTGGGAGGAAGCTAAAAGCTCGTTAGCCTCCCAGAGTAAGAGCAGCTGATTGGCATCGGGAACTGCAAAGCTGAGTTTTACAGGGGCTTGAGGCCAAAAAAGGGCAATTTGGAACACATGATCCTTGGTTAAACACACACTGAAGACCAGAGGAAAGAAAATGGTAGGCTCAGGCAGCCACAAGGTTAGGGAAGGAGTCCCTTAACAGTGCTGTTGATTTTCAGTGATGACTCTAGTTCTGAGACATTTTTCTGTTACGAGGCTCTTGGACTTGTTGATAAGGTAGTAACAGCAATACATTGTATTTTACTACTTGACATAGCTGTGGTGTAATTTTTTTAAATGGGTTTTCCTTCAGAGAATCACTCAGTATCTCTCTCCTTAATAAACACATTTTATACACTAAGCTCAAACCTGCTGATGGTTGGGCTAGACAATTAGGCACCTGCGCTAGTAATGGCAGTGAAAAGAGTCTCTTCAGCTGCACCACATGGCAGCTGTGATCAGAAAGCTGTGTTGTGCTTTCGAAGCTGTAGGTGAGGGGTGTTTTTGTCTGCATTTGGGTGTTTCAGTTCAAGGAAAAGTCACAGAAAACACACATGTTCTGGCATGAATATGTGAATGCACAGTTGAAAAAACACATTTGCTTAATATAGAAAGTAATAATTTTCTTCATGCTCCCAATGTTCATTAGCTTTGCCAGCCATCTTTTTATTTATTTTGTTCCTTTGGGAAAGCCTAGGAAGTATGCTCCAAAAAGCAGTGGATTCAAGCTGTACCAAGGCAGAGAGTAAGCATGTTCAGGCCTGGAGATTCCTCCACTTACAGCCTTTCCCCATTAGGAAGAAAGGGCTACTTCCCACCTGTGTGTACCCAGATGAGGCATTCTGTAGTGTCACATCGTTACTGCATCTTCTTGGAGCTGCAGTTAGGAAGTGATCCTGGGCAATGTTATGAGTTTGGATTATTGTGGCATCCCCACATATTTTTGGCTGGAGTTTGCAGCTCTGAGGTCAGTAAGGTGACAGTTCCTGAGCCTCTCCACATTTTCTACTGGTGTCACTGGCCCAGGCACCAGGAGCCAGATAAGGCAGGTGGGCTGGGCAGTGTTATCCTTTCTGGAGAGGATTGTGCAGTCCTTGGAATTGCTTTCGATGGTTAAAAAGGAGGAGTGACAACAAAGAGCTGTTTGGTGACACGAGCAAGGAGACGCCCCTCAGGGCATGTGGGCAGTCACCAAGCGCTGCCATCTGGGTCCTTTCAGAGAGGAGAAAGAAAACCAGTCAGTCGTGTAATTCTGGACCCTCGCAGAGGCAGGAGCAGACATATCAGAAGCACCCGTGGCCAATAGGAACAGCAGCAGCACTGAGATCTAAAAGAATAAGCATGGATGTTTGACCTTGTCACTGTTGTTCAAATATCCCTGTGA